ATGATGATGATGATGATGATGATGATGATGAGGATGAGGATGAGGATGAGGATGAGGATGAGGATGAGGATGAGGATGAGGATGAGGATGAGGAGGAGGAGGAGGAGGAGGACGAGGAGGAGGAGGGAGGATTGCACGCCACTAAGGGGGAGAAGAGAGAGAGAGAGAGAGAGAGAGAGAGTCCGACGTTCAAAAACCCTAAGGGGGGCCCATCGGAGAGGACCTTTTTGTCACCACGGTGCGGCTCGGCATAGGCAGCGCACCGTGGGCCAGCGACAGGGCACCCTTAGGAAAACTCTTCGTCGAGCTCGACAGCAGCAGCCTGTTGGACACGGAACTCTCGCCCGAGCTCACGGGCCTCCACCTCATTCAGCCCAAAAGCTTGGAGACAGTCTGCCAAGCAGAGAGTGGCGGTTCCCGAAAACTGCTGGGCTCTCGAAGTCCAAAGTGTCGGCTGGGACCCCAAACCTCCGACCAGGAACCGAGAACCGAAAAGCTCGCGCGCCAGAGCCCCAGGAGATCTCGGGGGCCCCAGCCGTCGCGCCCGATTCGGGTGCTTGAGCTTTAAAAAACTCGACGTGTTCTTCTTCCCAGGGCCGATCAACGAATGAGCCGAGCCCTGGCATCCAGAATGCAAGCCCCTGGAACCTGTGACCGCCGTTGCGTAGCTGCCACAGGTGGAGCAAAAGAGGAGGGGCGGGTGATCCTCTCCCTCCTCCGAAGACTCCACAGGAAACTCTAACAGGCAGTGCCCCCCCGCCTTCCACGGCTGCGTGCCTTCGGACGCCCTATCCAGGAATCTCTCCAGCGAGGCGGCAGCCGCAGGGTCAGGGACCGACGGGGCCCCCTCACAAGGGGGGGGGGGGCGCAGCTGCCTCATCCTCGGCCCGAGCCCACTCGAGCCGAGCTTCGTGGTCCGAGGGGAGGTCCAGGGAAACCAAAGACAGGCCCTGGGCGCCAACATTGTCGTGGACCCCCAGCTCGCTGTAGTAAGCTTCAGCACGAGTTATAAACCGCAACACCTCACGGGCCAGGCACAGGCAACCCTTGGCCAGGAGGGTGTCACATTCATCGTGCTGGACAAACGAGGCCCCCAACTTGGCCAGCCTATCAGCACCATGGTTACCAGTGCGCTCGAAATCAGACAAGAGGCCGTCTCTGACATCCTTGGCCGAGGCGTGAGCAGGGACCTTCTTAAACCTGCCCCCCTCAAGGCCTCCCGAAGCCCAAGACTGCAACCAGAGGTGGGCCCTGGGGCTGGCCGAGGAAACCGAGCGCGCTTTATTTTTACAGCAGTCTAGCGTTCCCTTGCAGTCAGAGTACAGCGTGAAATCGCCTGCGCACAGCTTCGAGACGATAAAAACACTATAGTCCTCGCCGTCACGCGCCACCTGATCAGGCAAGGTGGCTGGGGGCACAGAACCATACCACTCCGCAATACACCTGCGTGGCTCATCGAAGACGGTGACTCCCCATCCAGCAACACGCATGAACGGGAACAGCCCATCTAGGCCTGAACCATCACAGAAAACATGCCCCCCGGAAAGCACAAGCGGCCCAGCAAGGCCTCCGTCAACGCGAAACTCCGTGGAAGGATCCCAGGGTTTCCTGGCCAGAAGCTGGCACGGGTCAGGAAGGATTCCTCGGGAAAACCGCTCTTGCAGCCCGATACTGCAAGTCGAAACTCTGCTGGCTGCGCGCTGCACACACACACACACGGGAAGATTGTCGCGGCGCCAGGCCGACCTAGCCTGGCATTGAAAGTGGCGATGGAACAAAGTGCCTCGCTCACCGCACACCAGGCATTCTGGCGCCAGCTCAGGATTATGTTCGCTGAGCCTGTGCTGGCACCAATGAGAACCCATGAGGAGTCCTCGGAGCGTACGCTGCTCCCTGACCCCCCACGGACCACCCGACCCAACCGCCTTGCCCTCCCCGCCGATCCTTCTATGCAGCAGCTCGTTCAGCGGTCGCCAAAAAAGGTCTGCGCGCCAGGCCTTGCCTGGTCCGATTTTGCCCAAGGCCGCTAGGTCCGAAGATCTCCGCGCCGAAAAAACGCGCGCGCCTGGCCATGAAAGCGGCCGAGACCTGAGCCAGGTCCCAAACCTGTCCCTGGGCCTCCTGCACCGAGAAAGGTCCCTGGAAGACAAACCCGATCCTCGGGCAGGTTAGGACCAGGGCGGACACGGGGTCCTTGACCAGTGTCCAAGGTTTCGGCCTCTGGGCGACCTCCTGGGCCTTTGCAAACAAAACTTATAGCACGCGCTCAGACAGCCTGCCATCCTTTAGAATTTGAACATACGTCTTGATCGCGTCTGCTGAGACCTGCACCAAGGGATCTCGCGGCCAACCCCCACGCGTGCACATCGAAGCCAATCCGAGCGAGCATCCCTTGGGCAGCCTCCCCTCGGCTTTGACAGCCGCAACTCTTAAACTCTTCAGCTTTCCATCAGGCAGCCCCTGGATGTTGGCCCCCCAGAGAGCCTTGGCGGTGACTCCCGCCCTAGAGATTCCACCCGTCGGGGCTCCAGCCTCGCGGAGGCTGAGGACCTTGGCCACCTTGGCCTGGGCTTCCAGGAAGCGGGCCTGGTGGGTAGACACTCGCCGCCTTGCACCATCCGTCGCGCCCCCTTCCAAGGTCGCGGTGGACAAACGACCTGGCCTCTTCAGGGAGCTGGCAGCACGAGGCCAGCTGGTTGGCCAGGGAGGCTGACGACGCCAAAAGCCCCAGCTTGTCCCAGGCAATTGGGAGGCCCCTAGCCTGGAGGTCCTGGGTAACAAGATTGAACGCCGACGAAAGCTCCGTGCACACCGTGGCCTGGCCTCCGATGGACTGAAAAGAAATATCATCGATGACACTTTTCAGGATAACTGTTGGGCAAGACGATACCACTCTGCGCAGCACCGACACGAGCAAAAGGCGAGCGAGCGAGGTGGCCCCCGAACAGCCAGCAATCACGGTGCCATTCGGCGAGACGATTCTGGAAATCGCCCCTTGCCAAGACACCCGCCTCGGGGAACGGTGAACCGTGCAATAGGCCCTCAAGAGGGCCTTCGGAAAGGCCACCTGCCCAGCTGCCGCAAGTAATTCAGCATGGCTGATATGCTCGTAGAATTTGCGAAGGTCCAGAAACAACGTACCCGAAACTAAACCCCGAGTTTCCCGAGCAAAAGCAGCCATAGCATTGTGAACCCATGCGCTCTTGTCGCACGCGGTGGACGTGCTCAAGCCCCAGAAAAAGGGCGCGCCCAGCTCCCTTTCCCACGCCGCGCATCTGGCATGCCGAATCCTGCTCCACACTCGGGCCCCGAGGGGAAGGATGCCGATAGGCCTTACCCCCCCAGACGGTTTCGCAAGAAACACAACCACAACGAGCCGCAACGGGCCCACAGAGGGGCCCCGTTCCCGGGCCGTGAGGATATCGGCAAAGGCTTGGACAAGCGCGGGGGAGACTTGAAGAAGGAGCTGGGGGCGAAAGGAATCCCACCCCAGGCCCGTGCCTGGGGGGAACGACTTGGCAGCCACAAGGACCTGCTCCGAGGTAATCGGCGGCAAGCTATCTTCACACCTCCAGCGCCAAGGCGGGAGCTCACCAGCTCGATTATCTTTGCGCCAAATCGGCAACCACTCTTGTAAAGTCTGCTGCAGTGCGGCATCCCCTACTAGGGGAACAGTCACCCCTTCGTCAACTTCAGCCAAGACGGGCTGGGGAGGCGCCGAGGGGCCCTTCGAGTACCTGTGAGCGACCCGCCCCCCTCCGACGACGGACGACTGCGCCCGCGACCTCCATTTCTGGCGCCCCTCAGCCGCCTCCTGAGACACACGCTTTGCAACTTCGGCCTGCAGCCAATTCACAACCACCGTTTTTTTTTGATCGCAGGCAAGCAGGCTACAGAAAAGAGATTCAACCGTGAAGCCTCTGAGCTCCTCTACCTCAGCACTTTGCAGCAAGTGGGCAAAGGCGCGAGCTTTGGCCAGCAACAGGTCACGGTCCTTGACTCGGCGCATGTAGAGCATCGCCAGCCTCCTGACAGCTAGCCAGTTCTGCGTGAGGACCGAGCAGCGCTGGTTGAGATCCTGACCCCAGGCCGCTTGCAGAGGGACCTTTTGAATCTGGCAGCCAGACGACCTGCCTACGTACCCCCTGGCTTGTTCCAGCTCATGAAGCTTGACCAGCTCTGCCTCCGCCGCATCGAGCCACTGGGCAGCGGCCTCCATGGGCCTGTCCAAGTCAAAGCCGTATGCCTGGCCTCCCTCAGGCGCGACGAACCTCCGCATCTCCTCGTCAGTCCGTGCCAAGGGAAAGGCCTTCGGGACGATCCGCTTCCACACCTTCGCTGCCCCAGCAAGACCTTTCAGGCGGAGGTGCACCGTCGAGTGCGGCCCCGTGGGCGTTTCTGGCCACTCCTGTACTTCATCGATGTGGTAGTCCAAGCACCTGCTGACCACGAAGAAGTCGTAACATTTGTCGTGGCAAGTTGGCCCAGGCGGCCGAACTATTGTCACCTCCAGGTGTTCGCACCACCTGGACTCTCGCAACGCTTCCGCATCAATGTTCCGGCCTCCAGCTATGAGCACAGGTAGGGGCAACTACGAGGCCAGCTCACTAAGCTGCGCCAGAAACGTGATTCTCTCCCGTCAGACCGATCTGCGTGTGGCCGTAGACCGAAATCACCATCAGCTGCACCCTCTCAGACAGAACCAGCCTTCTTGTACACATCCTTTCCGACGTGCACGCGTGCACCACATCCGTCGCACCAAACCTGGCCGAAGTCAAAACAGCAACTCCCCCTGACGTCGCGTTGTCAGCCGCTCCTGTCGAGGCAGCGCACGAAAAGGTCGCCGTGAAGCCAGCCTTGAACGCCCATGATCGTGGCCCCTCCTGCTGGGCCTGGGTCAGCCTCGTCTCCTGGAAGAGCCCGATGTCGAACGTGGTAGCCCGAGGCCCCTCTTTGGCCCACTCCAGGAACTTGCGAGCCGTTGCCCAGGCATTACTATTGTAGGTGACTACTTTGAGAACCGAGTCTCCCTCTTGCTGAGCTGTCGCGTTCACAAGTTTCGAGGCTTTCCCCCGATGGTCGGTACTGCCCTCCTTCGTGGCCGACGGCCGAGGAGGACAATGCGTGCCATCGGGGCCAGCTGCATGGCGACGAATATGCCCGCTAGGGGCGCCTCTGGGTCGCACGTGTGGCTGGTCCCCTCCTGGGCCCAGCGGCGCGGCGGCGGCAGGTCCCCAGGATGCTGGAGCCTCTGCGGCGGCGGCGCTCAGGCTGGCCGAAGGAGGGGCCCGTGCCGATCTATGTCCCTCATGTGGCTGGGCCCCCTCTGGTGCCAGCGGCGCGGCGGCGGCGGGTCCCCAAGGGACTGGAGCCTCCGCGGCGGCGGCGTCACAGCTGGCACCTGAGGGGGCCTGTGCCCCAACCGAAGACGAACCTCTCGTGGCCCATGTTCCCGTAGGAGATGCCGATGCCGTAGGACGTGCGGGCTCGGGGGTGTGACGGACGGGGGCTGAATCCCCTTCCCCCGAGCCCGAGGCGGCTGGCGCCCCCACACCATCGCGTGGCAGGCTCAACAGACCCCTCATCTCGTTCTTAATTCTGCGCAGCTCCTCCCAGTGTCGACGGAGAGCCCAGCGCAGCATATCGCTGTCATTAGCTTCGCACCAGTCGAAGAAGCCGAGAATGTTGACTCGATGCTCCGCTCCATCTTCCCAGGCCTCTGCGCAGATGTCCTCCGCCATCTGCTCCAAAGACCTGCCCTGGCGAGCCTCCTGCACCCAGTGGGCATGCTGGACCCGCATGAGCAGCTCCCTGACGTAGGGCTTACACCACTGCATCCGGCAGACGGCTCCAGACTCTGGCGAGTGCAGGCGAGGAATCCACCTGGCCGCCGACATCGTGATTCCGTCGTAGAAAGCCGCCTCTGGCCCATCTGGGTCAATAGGCTCGGGAGGCGGGAGCCCCATCGTGCCTGTGCCCGACCCAGGCGGGCCGCCTCGCGCCGCTGGACCCTGACGATCGGCAGCGACGTCTTTGTGCAGGGAGCTGGCCCCCTCAGGCCGACTTCGTGGCCTGAGGGGGCGGCGGGCGACATATTCTGGATGCGCGCTGCTTGAGCCCTTCTCCAGCCCCCACTCCAGCAGCTGGCGCCCCAGCGGGCGCAGGCTGGGGGGCTTCCGCGGAAGCGGCTGCACCATCGCCTTCGGAAGGCGGTCCATCAGCTGCAGCAGGCGCAGCCTCAGGGCCAGGAGCCGCGGCCTCGGGGTCCTGCCGCCTGCGCTTGCCCGCCAGACGGGCCGCCATCTTCTCCTGCTCCGCCTTGAAGGCCTTGGCCTTCCCCGCCGCCTGGCCGAACATAGCCTTGACCGCCGCCGCCAACTCGGTCTGCAGGCGAGCGGTGCGGCCCTCCAACTCGCGATTGTCCGCTTCCTCCATATCATACTCCTCATCGTCGAAACCCAGGCCAGCAAAGGACAGCGGAATCGTCTCAATCGTGCCGTCCAAGATGCCGGCCACACTGAGCGCCTGAGCAGGGGCTTGCTGCGGCGGCACGTACGTCTCCTTGAGCTCCACCACGAGGCGGCAGTGCTCCTTCTCGCGCTCCGCGAGTTCGTCCGTGAGCTGCTGCACCCACTTGCGCTGCTGCTCGAGCCCCTCCTGCAGCTGCTCGAAGTGAGCCACCGCCTTCTCCAGCTTCTGACTGACCTCCGCCGCCTGCTTGTGGGCCAAGGTGACCCTCTGGGACAGCGGGGCCACGTACGCCTTCTCGGCCGCCTTGCGGCGCCTCTCAGCGAGGGTACCCTTGTGCTTCGCCGCGCTGGCCACGTCGCCCACGCGCTCCAGCATCGCCACCATCTTCTCCAGGTCGCCGATGTCCACCTCGGCGCCCTCAGGCTGGGCCACCATGGACTGGGCACCTGGGGCCAGGGGCAGGGCCTGTCCGCCGTCAGCAGCGTCTGGGCCCTTGCCACCCTTGCCCTTGCCCTTGCCACCCTTGCCCTTGCCCTTTGCCCTTGCCCAGACTCCTCCAGGCTCAGGTGCTGTGGCAGGAGCAACGTCAGACAACTTGTGGCCACAGGCCCTGCAGTACACACTTCCACGAACATTCTTCTTGCACCCGCACTTTGCACAAGCAGGCGCTTTACCGACCTCCTTCCAACCTCCGTCGCCACCTGGGCCCATGTCTCGCCACTCCCTCCATTGCCCCGCCCAGGGCGGGGGAGCAGACTTCCTCCACGGAGGCCTGACAGCAGCGGCCGCGGAAGGAGCCATGGGGCGAGAAGCAGGAGGCAGATCCTGCGGGGACTGGGAAGGTACGTCGTAGTAAGTAGAGTGCTCCACCAGGAGCTCACAAAGTTTTCTGAACCAGCGGAAAGCCGGTGCAGGATCACGGGTGGGGGCGCGCCTCCCCCACGCCAGCAGACTCCTGTCCTGAGCGAGACGCTACGGACTTGAGCCAAAATGGCTACGGAGGAGGAGGGAGGAGGGAGGAGGGAGGAGGAAGGAGGAAGGAGGGAGGAGGAGGAGGAGGAGGAGGAGGAGGTTGTGTGATTTTTGATGCAGTACTCCCTGGGTGGACGATCCTCGCTCCAACAGGCTGCACGCCTAGGCCCGACGCCAAAGTGACCAGGAGGAGGAGGAGGCGGAGGAGGAGTGTAAGGGGAGGAGGAGGAGGAGGAGGAGGAGGAAGAGGAGGAGGAGGAGGCTGATGATGATGATGATGATGATGATGATGATGATGATGATGATGATGATGATGATGATGAGGAGGAGGAGGAGGAGGAGGAGGAGGAGGAGGAGGAGGAGGTAGAGGCGGAAGAGGAGGAGGATGATGAGGAGGAGGAGGAGGAATAGAAGGAGGAGGGCTGTTCGGATTCTCGGTTCTTGCAGAGAGAGAGAGAGTGTGTGTGTGTGTGTTTGAGTCAATAAGTGAGTGAGTGGGTGAGTGAGTGAGTGAGTGAGTGAATGTGTGTGAGTAAAAGGAGGAGGGGGGGGGCGGGACCCTGCCACTGGGGCGTCATGTCGATATGAATTCCAGAGAGCGTTGGGGAGCGCGGGCGCGAGAGGTGCTGCGCTGCCTGGAGTCCCTGAGCCCACTCATCCACAGGATGCTCGGGGAGATCTGGGAGGCGCCTGGGGTAGGACGAAGGGCAGGGCTCGCAAGTGTGGGTCGGCTTTCCTCCCGTCTCCTCTCATTCCCCTTCCTCCTCCTCCTTGCTTGTCTCTTCTTTCCCCTCCCTCCCTACTCCCTCCCTCCTGCCTCCTGCTCCTCCCTCCGTTTTGCCTGCATCGCCGTCTTCTTCTTCTTCTTCTTCTTCTTCTTCTTCTTCTTCTTCCCTCCCCCTGCTCCTGCTCCCGCCCTCTGCCTGCGCACCTGCCCGCCGCTTCTCGCCCTCTGGTGCCCACCTTGCGCCGCCTCCTTTCTCCGACTGCCTCTTCATCCATCCCCTCCCCCTCCATGGCGTCTTCCTTCGTCTTCCTGCCTCCTGTCGCACCTAGATTGCCGATTGCGTTCTCAGGCCACGGACCATTGCATGAGTTTGCCTGTTTCACTTCGGCTTGTGCGTTGTTCCCGATGTGCCTAGCGAGCTTTTGACTCGCAACACGGTTGTGCTACCCGTGGTGCTTTGCGTGGAAAAAACGACCATCGTCCATCGTCTTTTGTCATCGTGCTCCAGACCTGTCATGCGAGCGTCGTGACACGATATCCGAGCGAATGGCCCAACCATGTGCAGTTGCGAGTATCGCGAGGCGGGCGAGACGAAGGAGCGGGGCCAGCAGAAGGATTGCGGCGTGAATGAGGGAGAGAAGACCAAACGTGGGCTCCCGGGGAGACTGCGTTTGGCGCGAACCCCGTGCGCCGCCGTTTCGCCCATGTCCTTCCCAGCTCTTGGACCCCTCCCCCTGGTTCCGTTGCGCGTGGCGTTCCTGCCCGCCTGGCCCGCGCCTCGGCCCGAGCTCCGGGCGCCGCCGTGTTGTGCCCGTTTCTTATTCCGTCTTTCTCATTCCTTTGTCTTTGCGCCCTGGCGGCCGTGGCCCTGGGCAGAGTGCAGCGCGGAGTCCCCGCGACGCGCGCTGGTCGCCCCGAAGGAACCCCGATGCATGTGGAGGCACCCGCTGGGGGCACTGGTGGAGCTCCTTATAGGGCCACGAAACGTATGAAGGGTGTGCCGAAATAGACGGTGGGTACGCATGTGGAAGCAGCAGCCACTGGTACCTTCGGTGGAGATCTCTGTGGGGCCCAGAAGCGCGTGAGGGGCATGTCGACATTGGTGGATGGGACGCATGCGACTGCCCACCCCACGCTTTGGGGGCTTCGATGGAGCTCCCAATGTGCCACGAAGCGTGTGATGAGTGTGCCGATGTCGGCAAGAAGGAGGACGGATGTTTGCAGCGGGAGGCGGTGACGCGGGGCGCTGCGGATTCAAAACGAGGACTTAAATCCACTTGAGAAATCATGATGGAAGGTTTTTTGCTGTTTTCGGCCCCTGGGGGGCCCTCACCGGTGCGGAGGGCACGTTACGACAAAAGTCACGGGGTCGGATGTTTGGGCACCTCCTCCTATTCCTCCTCCTCCGTTTCCTCCTCCACCTCCTCTTCCTCCTCCTCCTGCTCCTCCTCCTCCTCCTCCTCCTCCTCCTCCTCCCCCTCCTCCTCAGCCCCGAAGTGGTGGGGAGGCGGGTGAGGGCGCTCCACAACGTGGCCCTTCGTGACCCGTAAGGGAGGCGTTCAGGATGCTGCGGCTGCAGGAGGTCTCTGCCTTCCGAGGTGCCCTGGCCGCGGCCTGCGGCCGAGCCGTGGTGCGGCGGCATGCCGACTCCGCGTCGCCCCCGAGCCTATGTTCCTCGACGTTCCCTCCTCGTCCTCCTCCTGCCTTTTTCCTCCTTTTTCCTTCCTCCCCCATCCACCTCCGTCCTTCCTCCCTGCTTCTTCTCCCTCCTCCCTCCTCTTTCCTCCCCCTCCCCCTCCTCCCACTTCCTCTCTCCCCCTCTCTGCTCGGCCTTTGAGGGGGGACACGACGGCACTGTCCGCGCTGCACGCGGCGCTTTTTGTGCAGTACTGCCAGGCCCCAGGCCTGATGTCCTCGGGCCAGTTGAAGGCCCACCCTTGTCTCTTAGTGGGCCCTGGAAGCGGCAAGCCCGTGCTTTTTTTGTTGTCCTCAAGCAGCGGTTTGTCAATATGAGAACTGCAAAGAAGCGCTTCACCGAAACAGTTGAAACTCGTTCACCGGAACGGCCTGGGCAGTCCAGGGATCAGAGACGCTCGTATCCGGGTCGGGAACTGTTTGGACCCAGCCACAACATACAATCTGGACCAGGCCCCCGCCAGAGGAAACGACAACGGAAACACAACGGCGCCGGGAACATCAACAACAACGCCGCCATAAAATGGCAAAACCATCTGAAGGACGGAGACGGTAAGACATTGCCCTGTCGTGTCCAGGGTCCAGGGTCCACGAAGGCTTCCACATGTTGCGTCCCCGCGCGCGGTGCCCAGGCGCCCTCGGCGCCCCCGCCGCCGCGCCTTCATTGCATCACGTGCGCGGAGCCGGTGCCGCTGCCGTTGCCCGTGGCCCCAGCATGCGGTAAGTGGCTGCTGCTTCCCCGCGCGCTGTGCCCAGGCGCCCTCCAGGCGGCTGCAGACGCTGTGTGCTTACCTCGAGGAGAGCGGGCCCGGGAGCCGCCTGGACGCGGACTTCTGGTCCTCCGCGCTGTCCCAGGAGGCTGGCCGCCTCGGGGGGTCTCCAGGGTGAGGAGGACCAGGCGAGGAGGAGGAGGAGGAGGAGAAGGAGGAAAAGAAGAAGGAGAATAATGATGGAGGGGGGATGATGGAGAAGGGGAGGGAGGGAGGGAGGGAGGGAGGGAGGGAGGGAGGGAGGGAGGAGGAGGAGAACCAATGTTAATCGTAGCCATTTTGGCTGAAGCCATTTTTGGCTCAAGCTGGGTCCTCCACAGCTGGGTCCCCGGCCGGCCGGGTCTCGCGCGCGTAGGGCAATCCGCGCGCGTGGCCGCTGCCGGGGGCCGGATGCCGGGCGGCCGTGGCGGCGGGCGTGGGGATAGCGCCCAGCCGCCATGGGGCGCCATCCAGCGGCAGCTGAAGCAGCTGGCGGAGGCGTGCAGGCAGGCGAATCGTCCTGCTGGAGCGTGGCGGCCCTCGCGATCGCAGACACGGCAGCCGCCTAGGCAGCACGGTGGCGCGGCTGGCGAGCCCAGGGCTCGCAAGCCGGCTTGGATCCGAGCTGCGCGTGCGGGACGACCGACAATTTCGGCTCGCGAGCTACCTGCCGTGGGTGCGGCCGGCAGGCGCCGCGGACAGAACCTTCGGTGCGGGTGCGCACGGGCGGGACGCCAGCGGGCCCGCCGACGCCGGCGCCCTGGGCGAAGCCCCCACGGCCGGCGTCCACCGAGGCGGGGCAGCCGCCGCAGCCCGGCGCCGGATGCAGCCGCGGCCGATGCCCTTCCGTTGCAGCCAGCGGCTGGCGCCGCCCTGGAGGGCCTTGCCAGCATCAAGGCTCGCATCGCGGCCATCCGCCCTTTCCCCGAATGGGCGCACGAGGTGGCTCGACTCGAGGCCGCGGCGGCCGAGCTGCAGGCGGCGGAGCGCGCTGCCCGCCCTCTCGAGCGCCGCTTGCAGTCCGCATAGGACTCGCGGCGGAATCGCGCCGGTGCAGCGCGGCTCACCCAGGAGGCCGCGGCGGCGGCCCGGTCCGCGGTCGAGGAGGCGCAGCGGCCCGCCGAGGCAGCGGACGCCCGCGCTGCCCAGGCCATCGCCGAGGCGCAGGCCGCGGAGCAGGCGCTTGCTGCGGTGCAGGCGGAGGTGGCCGCTGCAGCCGCTGCAGGCGCGGCGGCGTGCCCGGCCGCCGACGCTGCCGTCGCTGGTCTCGATGGCGCGTTCGCGGCTATCGCCGCCGCCGCCGTGCAGAGAGGAGCGGGCGGCCTCGTGCAGGAGCTACGGGCCGTGCTGCTGTCCCCTGGACCCGCGGGCCCTGCCGGTGGTGCGGCGGCGGGCCCGGGCGCCGCCGTCGACTCCGCGGTGCCCGCGGCCGATGGCGCAGCCGCAGCCCGGCCCGCGGCGCGCCGCGGCGGGGCTTGCGGCCGTCGCGGGACCTCCCCAGCCCGCTCCGCGGAGGAGGACGAGGAGGAAGAGGAGGCCGAAGGACGACCTCGTTCCCGGCAGCCGGCCCCCTCCCGCCAGGCCAGCGCACGTTGCCGCTGGTACCAGCAGGGGGCCGGGGCGCGCCGGCCGCAGGAGCTGCAGCTGCTGCGGGTGCGGCGTCGTAGCCGGTTTGCTGCAGTTGCTTGTGATGGTGTTGCCGCCGCGTGATTACCGCCTGCGGAGCCCGTGGTGCGGCGTCCGCGTCGGCGAGGCTCGGCACCCCGGGCCTGAAGATGAGGAGGCAGCAACCAGGCCAGACCCGCCGGCGGCAGCGGATCCTGCAGCTGCTCCTCTCGCGCCCGGAGCCGCGGCCGCCGACGCCGCTGCGGAGCAGGCCGCCGCTCCTCTACCGCCGCCTCCTCTCCGCTGCCCATTTTGCAGCGCAGCCGCGGCGCCTTGGAGGCCGCCCAGCCGCCACTGGAGCTCGAGTCGGCGGAGGCTCGCGACGCCTTCCTCGCCCCAGTTCGGGCGCTGCTTCCGGCCATCGCGATGCGCGTCCCCGTGTGCATGCGCGCGCGGCAGGCCGTGGTGCTTGCTGGGTTTTTGGACGGGGTGGCGAACGGGGGCGCCGGAGCGCGCGATCTGGAGCAAGCCCGGAACAAGCTGCTACTGGGCCAGCCGCCGCGGGGGCACAACCTGAAGGTCGAGCTCTCCAGACGCCTCGCCCTGTGGAGTGCCGGCTCTTACGAAGAGCTGCTCGCGCGAGCCGAGGAGCAGGCTCGCGCTCGGGCCGCGGCTGCTGCACGAGGCCCCCGGGAGGTGAACCAGGCAGCGGGTCGAGCTCGGCGGGCGCATCACTTGGTCCGCGAAGGAGCTTACTCATAAGGCCGTGAGCCCCTTTCGCACCGAGGTGGCCGCCTTCGAGTCCGAGGAGCAGGCAGCCTGGGGCCGCGAGTTCCCCCCATCAAGTATCAAGTTCCGAGTCTGCCGCGGCCCTCAGCGCGCCAGATGGCGGCGCCCCGCAGCTGGCCCCTGAGGATGCCGGCGGCCGCCCGCCCGGGCAAGGAGCGCTCGCCGGCGAGCGCTTCAAGGCGTGCTCCGGGCCAGGGCCTTCCGGCGCCCGCCCCGAGCACCCCCGGGAGCTGCCCGCTTGCCGTGGCCGCCGGGCTGCCTCCCGGCTACTGCGAGCCATCGCCGTCTTCTCCGTGGAAGCGCCCGGCGGCCGTCTGCGTTGAGGCGCGCCGGATCTTGGCCTTCGTCGAAGAGGGGCGCCGCCCCACGCCCCATCAGAGCGGGGGAACTGCGGCGCCGGGCAATCGCCAAGACGCTGATCCCCGCGCGCCGGGAGACCATCCAGGCGCTAGCTGCGCGGCAGTTGGGGGTCGGCGTGCCGGCGCGCGCAGACGCTCTCGTCCACTGGCGCATTGTGTTGGGGGAGCTCCTGGAGGAGGGTTGCGGCCACCCTATCGGCGACCCGTTGGCTGTAATCGTCGTGAACCTGAAAACTGCGTTTCCTTCCTTGGGGGGGTCGTACATCCGCGCCGCCGTCGCCGAGGAGCTCTTCTCTCTTCTGCACTGGGCTCCGTGGATGCATCGCGAGCCTTCCATTGTGATTCTGCCGCCCGGGCAGTCGCTACTCGTGGACCGCGGCGCCGAGCAGGGCGACCCGCTTGGGCCGCTGGCGCGCGCCTTTGCCCTCGCGCGGGCCCCGGCCCGCGCCCGCGCCCAGGGGGGCGTGCAGTTTGCCGACGACGCGTGGTTCATGGGCGACGGCCAGATCGTCGCCCGCAGCTCCAGCGTGGACCCGCGGCTGCGGGTGCTCGGCGCCGAGGCCGCCGTTGCCGGGGCGGTGCGCGGCCGAGGAGAACGCGCAAAGTCGGTCGCGGCGGCCATCGCGCCGCCGCGGCGCGCCCTCGCTGGGCCACGGACTACGTCCTGGCGTCGGTGGCACCCCTGGCAGACGGCTCAGACCGCCACGTGCTCGGCGTCGATTTCGGCGGCGGCACGGCCAGCGACCAGTTCCTCGCAGCAGCGGGCAAGGTTGCAGCCGTGCACGACGCGCTGGGCCTGTTGGAGGACGCGTCCGCCGAGCTCGCCCTGATGCGGCGCTGCGCAGACGTCTGCAAGATGGCCCACTTGCTCCGCGCAGCCGGTCCGACCCCCAGGTTGGAGGCGCTGGCTCGCTACGACGGCGTGCTCCGCAGTGCAGCGAGGCGCCTGCTCGGCGGGCCGCTCGACGAGGCGTCGTTGGCCCAGTGTTCTGCGGGCGTCCGCGAGGGAGGGCTCGGCCTTCGCAGGGCCAGCGACGTGGTCCTGCCAGCCTTCTTCGCTTCCCGCGTGGAGTCGCGGGTGCACGTGGCCAGCCTGCGCGAGGCCGTCGTCGCGGCGGGATTCGATGGGGGTCCCTCTGTTGGAGCGCTTCGACGCGCGGGCCGCCTTCGCTCTGCAGGCCTTCAAGGCGAGGCTGCCCCGGGCCGCCGCGGAGGAGGCCGAAGCCGCGGTCGACGACTGGGCCGCGAGCGGCGAGCGCCCGATGGGGCCGCGCGGAGGGCGGGGGCGGCCTCATCCTGCCAGCTGGCGCGGAGGACCCCGAGCGGGCCCCAGACGGCCGTCTGCAGTCTCGCCTGTGCGCCGTGGCCGACGGCGTCGCGGCCGACAGCCTCTCTGCCGACCTCGCCGCGGCTGGCTGGGTTGTCGATTGCCGTCGCTTGCAGGAGCTCCGGGGCCCTTCCGTGAGCCACGATTGGCTCTGGGCTTTCAGTCCGGTGCGCGGCCCGACCCTCGGGCACGGGGAGCACCTCGCCGCGGTGCGCGTGCGGGTTGGCGCCCCCGCCATCGACGTCGAGATGCCGTGCCCGCGGTGCGGCACAGGAACGCTCGACCGGGCGTGCTCCCACGCTCTCCAGCGCGCCACCCCAGAGGCCACGCGAGGCCATTGCGAGGTTCGCGGCCACGTTTTGGCGCTGGGGCACCTGGCCGACCCAGGCGCCGAAGCCGAGGCTCCCGGGCTGATGCCGTCAGCTTGCTCCGCCCTGCAGATGTCCTGACCAGCGCGGCCCTCGTGAGTCGCCAGGCGGCTCTGGACGTCGGCGCGCGCAGCCCTGAGGCTCAAAGCGCTGGCGGGGACTGGTGCGAGGCAACGCGCGCCCGCAAGCTCGACGACGACGGCAGCCACCTCGCGGAGCTGGCGGCGGCGGGCATCGCGCACATGCCGATCGTCTGGTCTGCCTACGGCCGCGCCCGCCTGGATGCGCAGGCGGCGCTCCGGACGCTGGCGCTGCGGGCCGCACGGCGCCGCGGGCTGCGATGCCACCGGCCGCTGCTGCGCCGGGCCGAAGCGGCCATCGGCGTGGCCATCTGGCGCCAGGCAGAGGCCATGGCCCACGCCTGCCTTCCCGCGCTGTCCCCGGAGGAGGAGCGCCTCCTGTTCAGCGAGGCGGCGCCGGCCTGGGCGCAGGCTCGAGGCCGGCGCTGGGGTTGATGTTCATGAAGGAAAAAGATGCATCAACGATGTTGGAATACACCCTTCCTCCAAGCTCCCTCTTTACAGGCCCCTTCCAAGGGTTCATTTCCATTGAGGGAAGTGCCCGGTCGGGAGACAACCGTTTGAAGATCTTGAAGCGCGCCCAAACACAATCTTCATGACTTCAACGCCACGAGTCAACCTGATTGTTGCGGGCTGGCGCTCCCTAGTCGTGCCACAGACTTCAACAGCGCAAATCCACAAAACTGTTGAGCCCTGATATGCTGAATCGTTCAAAAAGCAGTTGTCGGTACGTTAACCATGAGAGTCCCTGAAGCCCATACATTTCTTACACGAACGTGCGCGGCGCTAGGGCGAGAACCGCAGTTGAAAAGCCAACCGCCCTCACTATGTTTAGTGTTTTGTTGCTGTATTATTTTCGAACACGAACTCGCGTAACGCCAAGGCGAGAGCCACACTGTGAAAACCACTTGTCCACAATCAGCAGAACTCTTGCATTGTTTTGCAACGCGTGTGCACGGCGCTCAGGCGAGAGCCACATGTTGGAAGCGATCCGCCTCCCATTTGTGAAACGGCTGCCAGTGTTTAAGTTTGAGGTTCAGACACGGTCAGGAATTATCTTGCGAAACGCCCGCCCCGCCTTTCCGACGGGCCTCGGGGTGCGACCAGGAGTAGTTATCCATAAGAAAAAAGGAATGGTGGAGGAGGAGGAGGAGGAGGAGGAGGAGGAGGAGGGGGATGAGTGATTTGGGGGATTTTTGATGCCGCGCTCCATGGGTGGACGATCCTCGATCCAGAAGGCTGCACGCCTAGGCCCAGCGCCAAAGCAACCAGGAGGAGGAGGAGGACTGTAAGGAAGAGGAGGAGGAAGAGGAGGAGGAGGAGGAGGAGGAGCAGGAGGAGGGGGGAGGAGGAGGAGGAGGAGTAGAAGGAGGGGGGAGGAGGAGGAGGGGTGGGGAGGAGGAGGAGGAGGAGGAGGAGGAGGAGGAGGAGGAGGAGGAGGAGGACGACGAGGAAGAGGAGGGAGGGAGGACGGAAGAGGGAGGAACGGGTAGGAGGGATGATGAGAAAGGCTTGGAGGATGATCAGGTGTAGACGGGCGGAAGAGGAGCAGGAGAGAATCAACAGGAAGAGCAACAGGAGGAGGAGGAGGAAACGGAGGAGGAGGAGAAGGAGGGAGGAGGGAGGAGGACGAGGGAGGAGGGTGGAGGCAGGAGAGAGGAGGAGACGGGCAGGAGTGAGAGGCGGCGGAGGAAGACGGGAGAGGCGCTGGGGTATGGGGGAGGAGGGGGAGGCAGGGGGAGGCGGCGGCGGCGGAGGAGTTGGTGGATAAAGAAGGAGAAGGGCGGATGACGAGAGGTGCATTTCTTCTTGTCGGCGCTCCCCGAGCACGACGACCTGCCATCCAGGCTCGTCGACATACTCGGGGCGCTGCACCTGGAGGTGTGGCGCAAGGACCGCCAGGGCGTCGTCGTCGCCGCCGGGGTGGAGGAGGTGGAGGAAAGAGAAGTCGGAGGAGGAGGAAGGAGGAGGAGGAGGAGTAGGAGGAAAGAAAAGGCAAGGCACCGCGCCTGCAACCACCGCCGAGAGGAGCAGGTGTGCCAGGCGGCTCGCGCCACAATGGCGGCCCGCGCCGGAATGCGTTGAGTCGCCTCGCTCGCGCGCCAGCCCCCAGACGGCCCTAAGAGAGGGCGCGCGGGCGGTCACGTTTCAACACGAACCAGGCGGCTCGCGAAGCGGGTGCACCAGGTGTGCATGGGCATTGTGGCCTGAGCTGGCAAAATATTAGCTCAGGCGGGAATCGTCGGGTTTCTTCGGTCTCCCGCCCCCTGGCAACCACCACTGAGCGGTAAAATGTTTTTGGGGTTCGCTCCGGTGGCTGTGCATATGTACAGGCCAAGTGGGTTGGGGGGTCGGGGCGACTCTACGGATCCCGCCGCGGGGGGAGTCAATGCACTCCTTCCGCACCACCAGCCAGCCGCCCGTCCTGCTCTTTAGCCTTGCCTGCACTGTCTGCTGCACTGTCTGCTTCTCTTCTTGACTTGAGCGTTTTGCCTGCAGCTACGCTTTGGCTCTAAGGAAACGGAACAGGAGCGAGCCTGCGGCGCGCGCGCGTGCGTCGGCCGGCGGGCGGGCCTCGTCCCTTCAGTGTTACCCTATTGCACGCTTGACGGCATTATCCTGTCTTACCCACGTCATCAACGGAGCCCAGTGACTATGACACATCGACAGAACATCTTGCAGGGATTATGAATATCCAGGCACAAGACTGATTCCCCTACCCCAAGCGTGTGCGCTTCTCCAAGCCATGGCGCAGCAGGGAAGGCCAAACTTTCTTGAGTCTCTTCTGCTGCAACTGAGGTGTCTCGGTTCATGTGCCTAGCAGGATTTCTTATGCACATACCGTTTTGGTTGCTGGAAACATTCCCGCACTTGGCCAAGTTCTTACGTCGCTGCCGTGTTTGTATAGGAGGAGGGGGAAGAGGAGGAGGAGGAGGAGGAGGAGGAGGAGGAGGAGGAGGAGGAGGAGGAGGAGGAGGAGGAGGAGGAGGAGGAGTAGGAGGAGGGGGAGGGGGAGGGGGAGGAGGAGGAGGAGGAGGAGGAGGGAGGAGGAGGAGGAGGAGGAGGGGGAGGAAAAGGAAGGGGACGAGGAAGAGGAGGAGGACGACGACGAGGACCTAGAGGAAGAGAGGGAGGACGAACAACGTATCCAGGCGTAGGGCCCAACCACATGCAGTTGTTGGTACCTCGTTGTGGGCACCGCTTCCGGCGGAACTCCCTATAAAGCCGCGAAGCTCGTGAGTCGTGTTCCGAAAATGGAGGCGTTGGTGCCATGCGAGCCTTGCAATTGGGGTATCCGGCGGAACTCCTTATGGGGCCACGAAGCGTGTGAGGAACGTGCCAAAATGGAGGCGGCCGTACCATGCGAACCCTGCCACTGGGGCCTTCGGCGGACTTCCCGATGGGGCCGCGAAGCGTGTGAAGGGTGTGCCGAAATGGAAGCGGTGGTGCCGTGCGAACCCTTCAATTGGGGCCTTCGGCTGAGCTTCCCATGGGGCCACGAAGCGTGTGAGGGGTGTGCCGACATGCAGGCGGCGGTGCCATGCGAACCCTGCCAGCGGGGCTTTCGTCGGAACTCCTTATGGGGCCGCGAAGCGTGTGAGGGGTGTGCCGAAAAGGGCGGAGCTGCATACTGCCACTGGGGCCTTCGGCGGAGCTCCCTATGGGGCCACGAATCGTGTGAGAGCTGTGCTGACATGGAGGCTGCGGTGCCACGCGAATCCTTCCATTGGGGCCTTCGGCGGGACGTCTGGGGTCACGAAGCGTGTGAGGAGTGTGCCGAAATGCAGGCGGCCGTACCATGCGAACCGTGCCACTGGGGCTTTCGTCGGAGCTCCCTATGGGGCTACGGCGCGTGTGATGAGGGTACCGAAATGGAGTCGGCGTTGCCATGCGAATCCTGCCACTGGGGCCTTAAGCGGAGCTACTTGTGGGGCCACGGAACGTGGATGGGGTGTGCCACATGGAAGCGGCGGTGCTATGCGAACCTTGTTATTAGGGCTTTCGTTGGAGCTCCACGAAACGTGTGAGTGGTGTGCCGAAATGGGGTTGGCATGCAGAGAGCAGAGGCAGGGAGGGGAGGAATGAGGAGGGTTAGGTGGAGAAGAGGAAGAAGGAGCGCGTGGCGCTGTCTCTACAAAGCGAGGACCCAGCACGACAGGATGGTTGGGAAAGCCATGAGTGGATGCTTCGCGCTGCTGTTTGAGTGTTTCTTGTCGTTGTTTGAAGGGGCGGAGGGGGGCGGGGCGATGCATACATACAGACATATACGTGTACATACGTTTGCGTGTTTGTGGGCATTGAATGTGTCAGCGCATATCGATAAAACACGATTACGTATATAGAAACATGTACGTATGTGTATATCTATAGCTATGCATGTATTAATACGGATATGCGTGTACGTATGTGTATGTGTATGCGTGTGTGTGTGTGTTGGCAAGCGCGGGGCCCAAACCGCGTGTGTCTACCAATCTATGTTGGGCACATTGTGTTGTGCAATATATATATATATATATATATATATATATATATATGTACATGTATGTGTATACATATATATATATATAGATATATATGCAAACAAGGCTGCATTGGCGCTTCGCGCCAGGCACCTTGTTCCTTGAAGCTTTAGAATGGTTGGCCCGTGGTGCCATCCTTGTTTCCATGTTAGCCGCGGTCCGCTGCGTCGTACTTCGGAGAAGCGCAGGAAGAGCAGAAAGGGGGGCAATCAACCTGGGACGGGCCAAAACTGCGAGTCGGAGGCCGCGGGCGCATGGAATGGCGCATATGAGTGGGGGCCGCGCGGGAAACAGCTGGAATCCCGGGTTCGCAACCGAATTTCCAGAAAATTGGTTGCGAACCCGGGGTTCTGAGCATAATGCGGTTATTTTTCAGGGAATATCAGATGAAGGGGGCGCGGGGCGGCGGAGTGGTGCGATTTCGAGGGCGGCGGGTTTGACGGGCAGGGTGTTGGTCGGCTCGGCTCTTATGAGCCGTCGGGACCCCCTTTTGAAGGCCGCTGGGCCGCCTTGGGGCGCTGAAGCCCTTCTAGTGGGTTCGCGGGGGTTCTCCCGGAGCCTTGTGGAGCGGTCTGACGGAGGCTGTTGTGGGGCTGTTGCGCCCTCCTGCGTCCGCTTGAGCAGCGCTCCCTTGCTCCGTTTACGGAGGAGCGGAGGAGGAGGCGGAGGAGGAGGAGGAGAAGGAACAGGGAGGAGGAGGATTTTCCCACATCGGCTGCATGCAACAGACGTTCGTGCAGGACGGCCGCTACATGCTAGCAGTCGTTGACTCGCACATGACATGCAGGCCCGGTTGGATTGGTGCAGCTGGGTTTTGGAGAAGGCATCAGCTGGCAAAGTTTCGCAACAGTCGGTGCACGTAAAAACAATCTCCTTATGACGAGGCGTGTTGCAACTGTCGCCCGCACTGAGCCCGAGGCTACGGATGCACTGAATAGCGCAAATTCAGCGGAGTGACTGGAAATTTGCTGGAATCCTGGGTTGACAACGGAATTTCCAGAAAAATGGTTGCGAACACGGGATTGTGGCCTCCTCCTCCTCCTCCTCCTCCTCCTTCCCCTCCTCCACCTCCTCCTCCGCCTCCTCCTCCTCCTCATCCTCTTCCTCCTCCTCGTTCTCCTTCTTTCTCTGCCTTCTTCTCCTCCTCCTCCTCCTTCTTCTCCTCCGCTTAAGCCAATGGAGAATTAACGATTTGGAAGCTTTTTAGTGCTTCGCCGGAGCTTCCCAGGGAGCCTCCCGAAGCTCTTTGGAGCTCTCTTGGGGCCTCCTTGGGTCCTTTCGGGGCGGGAGGCTCGTATTTTCAGTTATCTGGTCCTCCCTGGGGCCCTTCCTTGGGCCGTCTCGGAGCGTTCGTGGGCCGTCTTGGACCGTCTTGGGGCGCGTCTTGGACCGTCTTGGGGCTTTTCAGGACGCTCTGGGAGCCCCTTGGGCCGTTGTGGAGCAGTTTTGGGCGCTTCTTGGGCGGTCTTGGAACGTGGGAAACCAGAAAAAACGAGGACGCTGAAAACATTGGAGAACTAATGGGAAAGTAACATTTCTGAATGTTTTTGGAGCCTCACCGAAACATCTTAGGGGGCCTCCCGAGGCCCTTTGGAGCTCTCTTGGGGCTTCCTTGGGCTCTTTCGGGGCGGGAGGCTCGTATTTGCAGATCGTGGTCCCCCCTAGGGCTCCTCTTTGGGCCGTCTTGGAACGTTCGTGGGCCATCTCGGACGCGTCTTGGGCCGTCTTGGGGCTTTCTCTGAGCGCTCCGGGAGCCTCTTGGGCCGTTGTGGGGCGGTTTGGGGGGCTTCTTGGGCGGTCTTGGAGCGTCGGACACCCGAAAAAGCGAGGACGCTGAAAACATCGAAAAACCAATGGAAAAGTAACAATTTGAGATGTTTTTGGAGCCTCACCGGAGCTACTTAGGCGGCTTCCCGAGGCCCTGTGGGGGCCTCCTTGGGCCTTCTCGGGACGGGAGGCTCGTATTTTCAGTTCGTGGTCCCATCTGGGGCCCCTTTTTGGGCCGTTTTGGAGCGTTCGTAGGCCATCTCGGGCTCGTCTTGGGGCGCTCTCAGCGCGCTCTGGGAGCTTCTTGGGCCGTCTTGGAGCGGTTTTAGGGGCTTCTTGGGCGGTCCGGGAGCGTCGGAAACCCGAAAAAGCGAGGACGCTAAAAACGTTGAAAAACTAATAGAAATTCGATGATTTTGTTCTCTCGGGCCCCCTTTGAGAACGGTCTTGGGGCTCTCGCGGAGGGTCTTCAAGGCTACCCGGGTGCTATCCTGGACTGTCTTGGGTGTCTCTGTGGGCTTGCGCCGACCGATTTGGCACTGCCGCCCGCCTGCGTGCACGCCTTGGAAAGGATTTTCGGCCGCCCCCGGGGCACGGATCCGGGGGGTCCCGTTTCGGGGGGGGGGTCCGCAATATATATATATATATATATATATATATATATATATATAGTGCAACCTATGTGGTGCAACATGTGTGGTATAATCGATGTTGTGTAATACATTATATGTCTACAGACGTCGATCAACTAGATGTTATGTAGCCCATGCTGTGCAGCTTACGTGGAGCAAACATGTGGCGCAACGAATGAATTCATGTGGGAAGCAATCAGCGTGTCGCATGATGTGTGGAATTTTTTATGTGGTGCAATCAATGTTGTGTGAAATTCTTGGTGCAGCTTATGTGGTCAGTCAATGTGGTGTAATGTGTGTGGTGCGTTCGATGTGGCGCCGTCTTGGTCGCGGCGGCGAAGCGGCGACGAGGCGGCGACGGCGAGCACGGAACCGCTAGACCAGCAGCCAAGCCCAGATGGCGGGCGGCGACGGGGCGGCGACGGCGAGCACGGAACCGCCAGACCGAGACACAAGCTCGGGCGGCGAGGCGGCGACAAGGCGGGTCGACGGGGCGGCGACGGCCGGCACGGAGCCCCCAGGCCGACCTACAGGCCGAGTGCTGCAGACCCGAAGTCAAAACCCCTCGTCCAACCGCTGGTTGGGGAAGATGTTCGTGTCAGTGAGCTTATGTACTTAATAGTCGGTCCAGGCGTGCGCCTCCACGGGGGGGCGCCTAGTACGCGTGTGTCCTCCCGCGTCCCACGGCCGCGCAGGACCGGGACACCTACGACCTGTCGGACCTGCAGAAGGCCGCCCTGTTCAACCTGACGGGCGTCTGCCTGAGCCACGTCGGGCAGGCGAGCAAGGCTCTCATGCTGCGGGGGGGGGGCTCCTGCTGCCGAGGAGGAGCCCGGAGCAGCGCCAGGGGCTGCAGATTTGGAGGGCAGAGTCGGGGTTCAAGACTCCAGGTGTTCGGGCGTTTTCTCTGCGGCTTCCCAGCCTCTGGATGCTCTCCAGCGGCTGGGCCTCGCCGAGAGGCGTCGGGGGGTGCTCGGATCGTCCCGAGCGGCCGCCTGAGGCTAGAGCTATGGCAAGGCAACGTTAATGGAGGATGACGATTAATAAATGACCGGGGGCCGTGTTCACGCGGCGGCGCCCGGGATGACGATCAGAAAAAACCGGCCGCGGGCTGGAACAACATTTTTTTATCGTTCTCCTCCAGTCAGAAAATTATGCAGAAATAGCAGAAAGCTATTTTTTTAGTCGTTCTCTCTCATTCTTTTATTAATCGTCATCCCGCATTAGGTGGGGGAGATGCACCGACCCCCAGCCGACCGTTCATCGCCGGCGGGGGCCCGATAGCCCACCCTGCCCCGGAGCGGGCGGTTTCGCCGTCGCATCTCCCGGAGATGTACTGCCGATGCCAGCTTGGTGTTCCTCCCCTGTGCCAGTCCCCTGCCATCGTTCTCCCCGAAGGAGGAGGCGGGAGGGGACCCAGATGAAGACCACTCGAGGAGAAGTATCACAATCGCACGCTGGAGCTGACTGGACCTGTTATGCGCGGCGGGCGCGCCCGTCCGTCGGCTTGCACGCAGTTGCTCAGCACGGGTTCGCTGGAGTACGGTGCGTAGTGCGAGATTCCTCGCGGGAAGGAGGGAGAGGGGGGAGAGGGGTGCAGACCAATGCATTGGCTGCCGCGCCCATTGGCGATTGCATCGGTGCTTGGGGCTGCCCTTCTGGCAAGGCCTCTCACTGTCTTACTGTCGCTTCTTCTCGGTGCCTGGGGCTGCTTCTGATAGTATGGCCCAGCGCCTGCCTTTCTCTTCTTTCTGTCCGGCTTCTACAGCCGCTTTCCTATTCCATCTTTAAAATGAGAGGCCCATGCTGCAGGCGATGGAACGGTTCCTCGTCGAGGAGCCTCAGCCAACGTAGAGGCTCCGTTGAGGTCCTCAAGAGTCCATCCAGGCCACCATACGCGAGTCCCGAAAAATGATTCAGGAGTCCTGGCTCGCCCGGCGGATCTCCGCGGCGCACGCGCGCGCCGCCGCCGCCAGCGTGCGCAGGAGAGGGACGAAGGCCCGCTCGTCAAACGAGGATGCCATGTTCGCGAGCGAAGAAGGCGCAGTGGCGGCAGGACGCACGTGAGCCAGATCTCACGGCGACGGAACAACAATGATGATAGCCAATGTCGGGGACGATCGTGATGATGCTGATGATGATGATGATGATGATGATGATGATGATGATGATGATGATGATGATGTTGTTCATGATGATGATGATGATGATGATGATGATGATGATGATGATGATGATGATGATGATGATGATGATGGTGATGGTACGTATGATGATGATGATGATGATGATGATGATGATGGTGATGCTGATGATGATGATGATGATGATGCTGGTACGTATGATGATGATGATGATGATGGTGGTGATGCTGATGATGATGATGCTGTTGATAATGATGCTGCTGATGATGATGCTGATGATGATGCTGGTACGTATGATGATGTTGGTGATGCTGCTGCTGCTGCTGCTGATGCTGCTGATGATGATACCGACGTTGGTGATGATGATGATGATGATGATGATGATGATGGTTGTGGTGGTGGTGGTTGTGCTGATGGTGATGGTCATGGCGATCCTGACGATGTTGATGTTGATGTTTGACGATGTCAATGCTGATGCTTATGCGTATGCTGGTGACGATGATGATGATGATAATGATGATGATGATGATGATGATGATGATGATGATGATGATGATGATGATGATGATGCTGATGGAAGCGATGAATGTGCTGATGATGATGCTGAGGATGCTGGAGATCAAATAGATAACGATGATGCTGCTGATGAATATGATGATGACGATGATGGTTATACTGACGATGACAATGATGCTGATGATGCTGGTACTGATGATGATGATGCTGATGATGATGATGATGATGATGATGATGATGATGATGATGATGATGACGATGGTGGGAACGTCGGCGGTGGGCCCTCGTCGGTGTTCAGGAGGCTTCGCGACGACGCGAGGCGGGGCTCGGAACTTCGCGGGGCCACTGCGCAATGGCGTGGGATGTTGACAACTTGCTCTTGCAGTCGGGATTTTGTTGTACACCGTTTTGAATGCAATCTTTTAGTTGGGGGCGATCCCGGGATCCCGCCATACCGAGCGCCAGTCCTCTTGCTAGGATTTGACGAGCGCGGGGGAGAGGCGCTGTTTGCCCGTCGAGACCTCCCAGGGATGGACTCTCATTGCGCGCGCCGGCGCAGTGCCCTGCTCCGGCTTCGCAGCCCACGTCGAAATTGAAAGCTGCACAGGACAACGGCTGGAGGACTCGTCGGGGGAGGGGGCCACAAAGAAGCAGGATGAGGAGGAGGAGGAGGACGAGGAGGTGGAGGAGGAGGAGGAGGAGGAGGGAGGTGAAGGCCGTTTGCGAGAACTCGATTCCACGCACCAGCCCGCCTTCGGGGGGGTCGGCGTCGTTACGCGTTTCTACTACGGGTTTGTTAGTTCCCAACCCTCCTTGGTTGGGTATTCGTTTTGGATAGAGCACTGTGGTCGCGTCCTTTCCCCCGCCTCCCGCCTCCTCCTGCCCTCTCTTCGCCGACGATGGGGGCTGCGATCTGCGAAACTGTCGCCACTTTCGAGGGCTGCTGGTGGGTCCTGCGGAGTGAGGCACCGCGCGGACCTGAGCGGGACCTCGCCGTCCCTGGGGGGCTGCGATCTGCGAAACCGTCGCCACTTTCGAGGGCTGCTGGTAGGTCCTGCGGAGTGAGGCACCGCGTAGACCTGAGCGGGACCTCGCCGCCCCTGGGGGGCTGCGATCTGCGAAATTGTCGCCATTTCTCGAGGGCTGCTGGTGGGTCCTGCGGAGTGAGGCACCGCGCGGACCTGAGCGGGACCTCGCCGTCCCTGGGGGGCTGCGATCTGCGAAACTGTCGCCACTTTCGCTGCTGATGAACCTCGCCGTGGGGGGCTGCGAAAACAAGGGTTGAGCGGGATCTGTGTCGCCACTTTCGAGGGCTGCTGGTGGGTCCAGCGGAGTGAGGCACCGCGCGGACTGAGCGGGACCTCGCCGTCCCTGGGGGGCTGCGATCTGCGAAACCGTCGCCACTTTCGAGGGCTGCTGGTGGGTCCTGCGGAGTGAGGCACCGCGCGGACCTGAGCGGGACCTCGCCGTCCCTGGGGGGCTGCGATCTGCGAAACCGTCGCCACTTTCGAGGGCTGCTGGTGGGTCATGCGGAGTGAGGCACCGCGCGGACCTGAGTGGGACCTCGCCGCCCCTGGGGGGCTGCGATCTGCGAAATTGCCCCCACTTTCGAGGGCTGCTGGTGGGTCCTGCGGAGTGAGGCACCGCGCGGATCTGAGCGGGACCTCGCCGTCCCTGAGGGGCTGCGATCTGCGAAACCGTCGCCACTTTCGAGGGCTGCTGGTGGGTCCTGCGGAGTGAGGCACCGCGCGGACCTGAGCGGGACCTCGCTGTCCCTGGGGGCTGCGATCTGCGAAATTGTCGCCATTTTCGAGGGCTGCTGGTGGGTCCTGCGGAGTGAGGCACCGCGCGGATCTGAGCGGGACCTCGCCGTCCCTGGGGGGCTGCGATCTGCGAAATTGTCGCCACTTTCGAGGGCTGCTGGTGGGTCCTGCGGAGTGAGGCACCGCGCAGATCTGAGCGGGACCTCGCCGTCCTTGGGGGACTGCGATCTGCGAAACCGTCGCCACTTTCGAGGGCTCATTGGGGGGCCAGCATAGCGATCTGCGGAACTGTCGCCACTTTCGAAGGCTGCTGGCGGGTCCAGCGGAGTGAGGCACTGCGCAGATCCGATCGGGACCTCGCCGTCCCTGGGGGGCTGCGGTCTGCGAACTTGTCGCCAGTTTCAAGGGCGAGTGAGGCACCGCGCAGACCTGAGCGGGACCTTGCCGTCCCTGAGGGGCTGCGATCTGCGAAGCTGTCGCCATTTTTCGAGGGCTGCTGGTGGGTCATGCGGAGTGAGGCACCGCGCAGATCTGAGCGGGACCTCGCCGTGCCTGGGGGGATGCGATCTGCGAAAGTGTCCCCACTTTCGAGGGCTGCTGGTGGGTCCAGCGGAGTGAGGCACCGCGCAGATCTGAGGTGGGCCTCGCCGTCCTTGTGGGGCTGCGATCTGCGAAGCCGTCGCAACTTTCGAAGGCTGGTGGCTGGTTCAGCGGAGCGATGCACCAGGCAGATCTGAGCGAGACATCGCAGCCCTTTGGGGGCTGCGAGCCTCACGAATGCCGCTCGCAGAATCATATGCGCCCATGTCACGTCATCATCTCCGTATAACGTCTCCCACGCTACTCATGCCCCGCATTGCGCAGGGGTTGGGTACGTCGCCAGGGTAATGGTGTTTCGTGTTGGGCATTTCTGGTCATTTCTGCTTCACAGTTTGCATTTCTATTTCACGTTGGACAATTTTCATGGGGCGTTATATGAGTTTCATCCGTTGTTGGTTTCCCTAGATCGTGTTAGACATTCCTACTTCAGATTTGGCATTTCTATCTCACCCGTGGCATTGCATGCTTGGCATTTCTATGTCAGGCTGGGCATGTTCTATTTCGCGTTTGATCGTTCTTTTCCGTGTTAGACATCTCAAGCTCATGTCGGGCGTTTCTATTCCATGTTTGGCAGTATTGTTTTGCGTTGGATGGTTCTGTTGCGAGTGTGCTATTGTTTGTTCGCGATGGGCATTTCTAGTTCATGTTCGGTGCTTATATATCATGTGTGGCATTTCCACTTCACGCTGGGCATGTCTGTTGCGTGTTTGGCATTTCTTGCTCGTGTTGTGCATTGCTAGTTCATGTTGGGCGTTGCTGCCTCAT